GAGGTGGCTGTAGCTGCCTATTGTGGGTGCTGAAAACTAAACTTGGGTCCTGAAAGATTAACCAGTGCCATTAATCCCTATAGTCCCTAGAGAGAAAGTTTTGATACAACTGACAGGTGATTGTTAATATTGTTTGTATTGATGTTGATAACAGTTGGTGGTTGAAATGTTTTCTGTCATTTTACATTTTTACCTTTAGCTTAATTAATATTTGCTTTACTTTGGCAGATAAGTTTAAGCTCTTTTAAAATTCTCAAAAAGGAAGTAAAGGAAGGAAGCAGTACATCTTAAGTGAAATAAACTGATTGTATACTAACCTTCATCAAGTATCCAAGTGTGGGGCACATGCCTGTAATTCTAGCATGGACAGGCTAGATTGGCAACATAACACTTTTTTTTTGAGACAGGGTTTCTCTGTGTAGCCCTGGCTGTCATGGAGGTCACTCTATAGACCAGGAGGGCCTCAAACTCAGAGATCTGCCTGTTTCTGCCTCCCACGTGCAGAAATTGCCATGCCAAGCCTTCTCAATGAAATAATTCCTTGGTTTGAGGTGCTTAAGGGGCAGACAAATTACAACTAGCCAACTTCTTCAAGACAGAAGTTACCCAGGGAGTTCTTTGGGCCTTATCTTAATATGTTACACAGCATCACACTGAACCTGGAGCTTAGTGATTAGCCAAGACTGACTGCTCAGTAAGCATCAAGAATCCTCCCTGCCATGCATTTCAATGCCTGACTTTTTTGGGGATGCTGGAAATATGAACTCTGGTCCTCATGCTTGAGGGGTAAGCATTTTACCAACACGAGCTGTCTTCACAGCCCCTTAATATGTTCTTCCTTCTTATAAAGATTTGTTGTTTTGTGTGTATGGCTATTTTGCCTGCATGTATGTCTACGTACCACGTGTGTAATGCCCATGAAGGCCAGAAGATGGCATTGGATTCATCTGACATATAATTATGCCAATCAGATACAGTGAGAACTCAGCACAATGGCATCTATTGTGGATTGAGAATAGATATGGCAGTGAGGGGAGAAGGGTTAAAATTGCCTGGTTATGGTTGAGGTATGTTGGCTTTGAACTTGAGGTTTTCATTTTCTTTTCCCCTTTTGTTGACAAGCTTCTTTAATTTATTTATTTATTTATTCATTCATTCATTCATTTATTCATTTATTTATTTATTTATTTATTTATTTATTTACTATATCCTAGGTTGCAATATGCTTTATGTTCTTACAAAAGGCACTAAATCCTGTGGGTATTATTGGCAGTTATTACTCTGCCATATATCTTGGGGAGAAGGTCCAGGTAGATTGAGGACCTGACAGGTAGATTGTGGTCCAAATCCTAGCTTTGCCACTGAAGTGTGGCCTTGGAGGATTCCCATGCTTATTAATTCTGAGGCTTATTGTCTTTGAAATGCTGGTAATAATGTCTGCCTTGCCAACATTGAGTAAAATCCTGTGTATGGAGCATCTTGAATGCATGAATATGTATAGGCCATCTTTAGGTTGCCCTCGAGGAGGAAGCAACTAGTTAAGCACCTAAATGAGAAGAGCAGCTAAATGTAGTGTTTTATTTGAGGCCCTTGTGACTGTTTAACTCATTTAACTCTCCCAGTAACTCCAGAGAGCAGTTACTTGAGCAAAGTCAGTTAAACAGAGATTAATCTAGGATAAGCCAGTTTTGAACTCAGTCCCCTTGGCTCTGTTAGAGGTACCAGCCTTTAGTTTTGGTTTGGTTTGAGATAGGATCTTGTTAAGTATCTAAGTTGGTCAACTCCCTGTGCAGAACAGGCATGTCAAACTCACAGAGATAGATCTGCCTGCCTTTGCCTCATGAGTGCTGTGATCACAGTCATGAGCTACCACTTTTAGGTAGCTTTTTGTGTGTTGACAGAGTCTGATATATCCCAACCTGGCCTGGAACTTGATATATATGTAACCCTAAGGATGACTTTAACCCTGATCTTCCTGCCTCTGTTTCCAGAGTGCTGAGAATAAAGCCCAAAGTCTTGTGCTAGGCAAGCAGGCTACTGATTGAATCACATCCCAGCCCTGGTAGTTTTTTGTGTTTTTTTTTTTTTGTTGTTGTTGTTTTTTTTTTCTCTCTACTTCTGTTTTGTTTTGAGGTAAAGTCAAACTGAGCCAGGTAATCCTGGCTGGCTTGGAACTTGCTCTGTTAATTTTAGTTTAATGTACATAGGTGATTTTCTTTGTGTTTTCTTTTCTTTCTTTCTTTTTTTTCCCTTTGCAAGAGAGAAATTCTCTGTGTAACCTTGCCCGTCCTGGACTAGACTTAGGCTGGCCTTGAACTCACAGAGTTCCACCTGTCTCACAACACCCAGCAGTCTTTTTTTTTTTTTTCCTTTTTACCTGCATATGTGTCTGGTTTCCTGGTGCACAGCTGCCAAGAGAGCGTATTGGATCTCCTCCTGGAACTAGAATTACAGACAGTTCTGAACTGCCATGTGGATGCTGGAAAAGTCCTATCAGCAAGTGCTCTTAAGGTCCAGGGCTAGAGTGATATGATAGCTCAGTGATTATCACTCTAGCCCTGCACCTTAGTAGAGATTGGAGTAAGGAAAACTGGAGAAAAGGAAAGGATTGAGAGAAGACAGGATGAGGAAAGGATTGGAGAAGACAGGCAGGAGCCTCATATTAGAGGATATATCCATCTTACAGTAGACATCTTCTCTCCTGAAAAAGACAAAATTTCTCAGGTTTAAGGTAGTGGTGAGGAAAATGATGAAAGGGTATGGTTAAAAGAAAATGCCTAAAAGCTCCTCTGGCCGGGTGGGGTGGTACACATGGGTCTCTGTGAGTTCAAGGCCAGCCTGGTCTACAAAGTGAGTCCTGGACAGCCAAGGCCACATAGAAACCCTGTCTCAGAAAAACAAAATTATTAATACAAGTAGGATGATTTCTATTAGTAACATATTTGTCTTATAAAGATCTAAATTTAATTCCTAATACCTCTGTAAAATAGACATGGCTTAGCACAATTATGACCTGAGCATTAGGGAAGCAGAATCAGGAATTCCTGAGGCTTACTGGCTAGCCATTCTAGCCTAATTGGTTTCAAGGAGGTAGATGGCATTCCTAAGGATGGCACCTAAGGTTTATCCTCTGTTCTCCACTTGTATGCATACACACTTGCTTGTTTGTTTTTTAAATTTCTGTATTTACTGTTGGTCAGGGTATAATTTCATATAGCCATTATAGAAATCAGTTTGGTGGGGGTTTTGTTTGTATAATTGGTCTTTAGGTTTTTTTTGTTTGAGGTTTTTGTTTACCAGTTTGTTAGTTTTCTGAGGCAGGGTTTCTGGCTTGTCCTGGAGGTCTCTCTGTAGTCCAGGCTGGCCCTGAGATCCACCTGCCTCTGCCTCCTGAGTGCTGGGATTAAAGGTATGTGCCACCATGACCAGCAATTGAGAATAGTCTACATAGTGAGTTCCAGGACAGTTAGAGCTATGTAGAGATACTTTGTCTTAAAACAGGCTTATAAATCAGTTTGGAGATTTCTTAAATAATTAATAATATTACTCCTGAGCCTTTACCTAGAGAACTTTGATACCTGTTCACAGAAATAGTTGCACCTCCATGTTTATTGCTGCTCTGCACTCTAGCAAGGAAAGAGAACTAATCTAGCAAATGAATGGATAATGAAAATCTGGTGCATATTATAAAATATTTAGCTGTAAAGAAAAAAAGTAAAAATCACAAAAATTATTTTAGGAAAATAAATATGCAATGTATATATTAAGGAAGGTCACAGAAATAAAACTGCGACCTGTGTATGTCATGAGAAAGGAGACTGAACATCAGAGGTAAATAGTAGGTAATGGTGGAGGACAGGGGTTTGACACGTGAGTCAGAGGAAAAAGAATGTAAAGCTAATTGTTTTTCTAATTTTAATTTTGACATGGGTTTTCCCCTTTTGTTTGTAAAATTAAAATTATATTAATGAGGTCAGGTGGTGGTGGCACAGGTCTTTAATCCCAGCACTCGGGAGGCAGAGGCAGACAAATCTATGAGTTCAAGGCTAGCCTTGGCTATAGAGAGAGTTCTAGGACAGCAAATGATATACAGATTAACCCTGCCTCAGAAAACATAACTGAAAAAAAATTAATTAATGTGTGTAATATGTATTAATGAGCTGAGTGTGGTGGCACATGCCTTATTCCCAGCAGTCTGGAGGCAGAGGCTATTGGATCTATATAAAAAGTAAAAAATCCAGTGTGAAGCTCCAGTTTCAAAATAGCTATTCTGCACATATAGAAGAAGTTCATTGAGATGTATAGACTGTAGATCTGGCTAATATTGCTGAGTAATGATTTTTATCTACAGATGCTTTAAAATAATGGCTTGTTTTGGTTATTTAAAACAGGTCTGGCCTTGAACACACAGATTCACCCCCCCCCGCCTCCTCCCAGGCACTGAATTAAAGGCTTGTACTACCATGCCTAACTAGTAAAGAGGGTTTTGAAATGTCCTCAACCAGTGACACCCTGTCTCTGTCCTTTGGCCTTGATGGTATTTTGGGACAGAAGAGCTGCTCATTGCCTTCCTTTCTCCATAGTGACTATAATAATCTTTATGGAAACCCTTTAGGAGCAGATAGGGTGTCTGGTCTAGAGCTTGGGGTCTTTGACCCTTATGTGACCATGTTACCTGGAGTTTCTGATAGAAAAAAAATTTGACAGCTTTAAAAACATTTTTAATTTTAATTTATTCATTTCTGCAAGGGAGAAAGACAGGAATTATTGTGCTGTGTGTGTCAAGGTCAGAAGAAAACTTGCTGTAGTCAATTGTTTTCTTCCTCCATGTGAGGCATAGGGGTCAAATACAGGTCATCAGGATTGGCAAGAAGTGCCTTTACCCATTGAGCCAATTTACTGGTCACCAACAGCTTTTAACTGATCCATGCAAACAATTTTTGTTTGATTTTTATTCTTTACTCATTCCTATCAGTACTTACCTGTTCTCTTTTGGGTAGGGTTCTGCAGCATTCCAGATCACGAACACCAAATCAGGATGGGAAAAAGACGTTGTGTTCCTCCCCTTGAGCCCAAGTTGGCAGCAGGCTGTTGTGGGGTCAAGAAGCCCAAATTATCTGGAAGTGGAACACACAGTCACGGGAACCAGTCCACAACTGTTCCTGGCTCTAGTTCAGGACCTCTTCAAAACCACCAGCATGTGGACAGCAGCAGTGGTCGGGAAAATGTATCGGACTTAACTCTGGGACCTGGAAATTCTCCCATCACACGAATGAATCCTGCATCTGGAGCTCTGAGCCCTCTCCCCCGGCCCAATGGAACTGCCAATACCACTAAGAATCTGGTGGTGACTGCAGAAATGTGCTGCTACTGCTTTGATGTACTCTACTGTCACCTCTATGGCTTCCCACAGCCACGACTTCCTAGATTCACCAATGACCCCTAGTGAGTAAATTAGGCATGGGACAATGTGAAGGGCATGGTAACATTTTCTGAGTTTACTCTCCAAACAGGGCCTTTCTGAAGGGTTTTGGAAATAGGCATTTTTGTTATTGTTCAACATAGCATAGGGTTGGTAGAGAAGTCATTTTATCACACCATTGTTGACTTCAATAGTGATAATCCAAGTGAATATGAAGTGTCTGAAGGCCAAGCTGGAGACCGGCACTCTCATTCACTGGGAGCAGTGCTTTTAAGAAGGATTCTTTTGATTGTCCTAAGACATCTCAAGTCCATTTTCATGCATGTGTGTGTATGTGAATGTGCGTGTAACAGGGCCATGCATGTGTGTGCAAGTGGAGTCTCAAAGTTGATGTTAGAAAATCATCTTCAGGTGCTCTTCTGCCTTATGTCATTGTGGCAGGGTTGATCTCAAGCTAACCCAGAACTTGTGGGGATCACTAGTTTCAGCTAGCCAGCCTGGTCAGGGGTCCACTGTCTCCACCTTCTGAAGCCTGCGTTACAGGTGGCCCACCAAACCCACTGTCATTTATGTAAATTCTGAGATCCAAATTCTAGTCCTCATACTTAATACATACAACAAAGCTTTTTTAACCACTGAGCCATCTTTCCAGCCTATTTAAGATGTATTTTTATAAAGTGTAAGATAAATGAAGAAAGGGATGCCAATGTTTTCTTCAAAATTGGAGGCAGCTCGTCGCTACCTTTGAAAAGCACTTCTGCTGCCAGGCAGCAGTGGTGGTGGTGCATGCCTTTAATCCTAGCAATTGAAGCAGACAAAGACATCTGGATCTCTGAGTTAGAGGCCAGCCTGGTCTACAGAGTGAGTTCCAGGACAGCCAGGGCTACACAGAGAAACCTGTCTTGAAAAAAATAAAAATGAAAAAAGAAGAAAGCACTTGTGCTTTGGGGTGGGATGCTTTCATGGTATTCATCAATCTAAGATTACTTTCCAGCTGTTATGCTCTGCTGAGGGTTCTGCAGAACTTTGAGCAGAGTTGGAGAGGAAAGGTCTTTGCCTTTGAAAGACTCTCCTTGAGTTGGCAAATCACACACCTTCACAGAATTAACTGTAGTACAAGGGAAGTTACCCTGAATGTATTTGGGGGGAAATGTGGAGAAAAATGTGTGACTTTTCAGGGAATTTTGTTTGTTTTGAGACAGAGTCTCATTATGTAGCCCTGGCTATTCTGGAACTCACTGTGAAGATCAGCTTGGCTTTGAAATCAGAGGCCTGCCTCTGCCTCCCAGTGCTGGGATTAAAAGCTTGTTGCCACCACACCTAGCTTTCACAGAATTCTTGATGTTGGGTGCTGTGATGAGGAGCTCACAACTGAGCAAATGAGAGTCAAGCCTGGGTAAGATATATAGGGATTGTTGATTTCAGGGCCTCTAACCTGTGGGTAATAGAACTTGAGTTTTGAGTAGGTTTGGAACAGTAGCTTCGCCTGGTTTGGTGTAAGAATGCTATTGGAAGGAAATGAGAGTAGTGGGAGATATGTCTGCTAGGATGAAGAAAGATATAGACAGATAAGGGCTGGAAAGATGGCTCAGTGAGTGTGACTTCAGATTCTCAGAACCCATGTCTATAGTCCCACTTGTGCAGTGAGATGGGAGGTAAAGACAGGAGAATCCACTCTGGAGTATGCAGCAAAGAGCAAGAGACTCTGTTCCTACTTTAAACAGTGTAGAAGACAAAGACAAATACCTAAGGTTGCCTGTTGGCCTCCATATGTATGCCTTGGCATGTGTGCACCTGAACTACAAGCAGGAGCACAGCCCCCCCCCCCCCTTTAAAGAAAAATATAAGCTAGATGTGGTGACACCCCTTAATCCCAGCAGGGGCTGGAACATCTTTTGTGAATTTGAGGCCAGCCAGGGCTATGTAGTGAGACGTCTCAGTGGTGGGGGTGGAGAGGTTTAGGTAACTTCATGCATTTGAGAAGTAATTAGATCAGAAATCTAAAAAGTGAGGGCATTAGGAATGTGGAGAGATCTCAGGAAGGGGGCAACTCTGTGACAGTCTGTCATGAATCTGATACAGCCAAGGAAACATGACTTTGGCCTAAAAGCAGAAATGGCCGTTTCTTTTAAAGTAAAGCTTTAAGGTGTTTTTCTCTTCTTAAAGTCTATAAGCACAAACTATTTGTAGTTTGCCAGTAGTTAAAATTTTGAGAAAAATTAAGTCTTGCAGAGAATGCTTGTAGCTAAGGAGAGTTCAGATGGGCAAGGTGTGTAATCAGAAATGATGGAGCTGAGCACCTCAGTGAAGTAGAGTGAAGGAGGGAGGATTTGAAAAATTAGAAAGAGGGGAAATTGCTGGGTGCTGTAGAACACTCCTTTAATTCCAGCACTTTGGGAGTGGAGGCAAGGATATCTTATCAAGTTCACTTGGTCCACCTGGGCAACTTTGAGTGACACATTCTCTAGCAAAAAAGGAGAAAGAGGAAAAGAGCTTATACACGTGATATCTAAGTGAATAAAAGTTGTGAGGACAGAGCATAGAAAAGGCTACGCAGAGCTCTTCCTGTTACCTCATGATACTTTGTGTTTCTAGCCAGGGCTGAGCAACTTCCAGAAAAACAGAGTTTTTTCAAGTAGCTGTCAATTCATAAAATCCTTTGGGCAATAAATAGGAATGTATCCGTAATTAATCTAGGGCTGGAGAATATTTTATGTTCTGCTTTTTTTAGTCCTCTCTTTGTGACCTGGAAGACAGGGCGAGACAAACGGCTTCGTGGCTGCATTGGGACCTTCTCAGCCATGAATCTTCATTCAGGACTCAGGGAATACACGTTAACCAGGTAATGATACAAACATGAGAAATAAAAATAAAGTAACTAGAATTGTAAATGCATGGCCCATTTCCTCACAGTGTTTGGTATAAACTTAGCAGTCCCTCTTTGTAGTCAAGAAATGTAAGGGCTATATAACCTGGTGAATTGCCTATAAGCCCTGCAAAGGCCATTAATGCTGACATTAGTGTTAGATGCTGGGAGATGCTGTCACAGGATGTGAGGAATCAGCTGTGGGCTCTGTGGCATGTAATGTTGTCTCCTAACTGGGCAGCCTCACTTATATTTTCTGTCCCCTCTAGTGCACTTAAGGACAGCCGCTTCCCCCCCCTGACCCGAGAGGAGCTGCCCAAACTTTTCTGTTCTGTCTCCCTCCTTACTAACTTTGAAGATGCCAGTGATTACCTGGACTGGGAGGTGAGAACAGCTGCATTTGGAACTCTGCATCTCTCAGTGCATTTGGGTTCGGGTTAGTACATGGTAATGTATCTCCTTTATTGAGAGAGGGCCTAAGAATGTGAAAGTGACAGAAAGGTACTACTACTAGGAATAGAAAAGAAATGGGAAATGAGTACTCTACACTATGAGCCAGGTGTGGTGACATATGACTAATCCCAGCACTCAGTGGGGCTTTCTAAGTTTAGGGCCAGCCTGGTCAAGTCAGCTGGACTACACAGTAAGATCCTGTCTGCCCTCAACCTCAGGAAAAACCTCTCTGGTCTTTCTTCCCAGTCCACCCTGATCCAACTGGGCACGGTGGCACACGCCTATAATCCCATCATTCAGGGAAACAGAGGCAGGCAGATTGATGTGAGCTCAAGGCCAGCCTGGTCTACAAAGCAAGTCCAGGATAGCCAAGTCTACACAGAGAAACCCTGTCTTGAAAAAAAGAAAGAAAAAGAAACCGGATATGAACCTGTGCATGGTGGCCCATGCCTATAATACCATCAATCGAGAGGGAGAAGCAACAATTAAAAAAAAAAAAAATCCAAAGGGAACCAAATTGAAGAAACAAAAATAGAAACTGTTTGAGATGTAGATGTATGTTCATGTAGTAGAATTGGGCTAGAAGTAAAATATTTAAACTATTTAGGTATGCTAGTTCAAGAATTTATTTCTGAAACCTTCACATTCTCAGAGGTGCAACTACATAAATATATTTAACCTTTCCCTTTGGTTTCTATGCTTTAGAATTAGTCATGTGAAAAATTCTTTCCTCAGACCTGGGTCAAATAGCTCAGGAGACAATGTTGATATATGTGTGGGTGATTGAAATGTTGCAATCAAAAAATGCCATGTACTCGGTTGTATTTTTCTGTAGGTAGGGGTTCATGGGATTCGGATTGAATTCATCAATGAAAAAGGCATCAAACGCACCGCCACATACTTACCTGAGGTTGCTAAGGAACAAGGTGAGTTGGACAGATGGCGACTTAGAGATTGTACTACCCATAGCCATGCCAGTTAATGGGCAACTGCCACCAAGTATGAATGCCTTTCTTCCCCTTAATTCCTGTCAGATCCTGTAGGACAAAGGCAAACTGACATAGACACTAGAAAACGGGGGTGGGGGTGGAGGTAGAGGGGAAGAAAAATAACTTCCTCACTTGATTATGGCTTCCAATGTTTCTTCCAATGAATAGTTCTATTTCTTTGGCCCCCATAAGCTTCAGTGATTATCACAAAATCCCAGCAACTAGTTTGACCAAGTTTTGTCTTTCATTACAAAGTCCTATATATTTTTAACTGTGAAATCTGTACACGTGGTTTTAAAAAGCTTAGTAGTTGCCAGATGTTATAGAACATGCCTTTAATCCCAGCACTTTTGAGGAAAAGACAGGTAGATTTTTGTGGTTGTAGGACTAGAAGGCCAGTCAGGGATAAATAGAAAAATTCCCAACAAATAAAAAAAGAACTCAGTAGTTAATGAGTTCTTATACTGGGGGTAATAAAGGTAGGAAGTGGGTTGGGCACATTTTCTCTTTGAAAGGTTATCTAGAATTCCTTTAACTGTTTCTTGTACTTTCTGTGATATGTAACCCCATTTTCTTTCTTTCTTGGAATTAGTCTGGTTTTGAAAATAATATGTGAAACACAGTAATTGTTGGGTGTGAACCTGGAATAGAGAAAAATATACAGTTAAGTATATTAATGAACTACTTATGTGGAAAGCGATCGCCTTGTTGGTTTTCATTGTGGTTGTGTTTAAACTTGTTCAAAAAGCAGTGTGTATGTAGCATAAAAAGGATGAGTTTTTAAGTTTGGTTAGGTCATAAGTCTAACATGCTCCTGTTTAAATAACATCAAACATAGTTTTTAGTAGTTAGATATGAATTATGGTTCAGTTAAATAAGCAGATTATTTCTCCCATTTTAAAGTTGAGAAAATTTAAAATTGGGAGCTTCTCCTATGATAATTGGGAGGAGGGGGTTCAATTTGATATATTACTATTTTTTTTAATGTCTAAGATTGAGGGACTGGAGAGGTGGTTTAGTGTTGAATGTATACTGTTTTTGCAGAGGACCAAAGTTTGGTTCTCAGAAATCACATTGGGCAGCTTATAATTGCATCTGACTCCTGGCATCCTTGGGCACCTGTATTTATGTGCACATACCCACATATAGTCATACACAGAGACATACAATAAAACAAATGTGGCTTATTTTTATTTTTTGTAAGTATAAGATTAAGGTGGGCCCAATGAAACCTGAAGTCCTAACACCAGGAGGCTGAGCATAAGGTGGGGTACATGCATAACAAGACAGTATATTTAAAAAACCAGTAACGAGACAGTCAACAACACAGATGAGAACAACTTTCCAGTTGTCACTAAGGAATTTCCTTACTGCTACCATTTCTCTGTCATGCCAATTATCAACCTGAAGAAAGGCTACAAAAGGCAGCAAAAGTCAGGTAATTTAAATTCCCCTCTTGGGCCGGAGAAATGGCTCAGCAATTAAGAAAGCTTACTGCTCTTCCAGAGTACAGAAGTTTGATTACCAGTTCCCAATTCTGCCTATAACTTCAGCTCCAAGAGGATCCTTTGCTTCTGGCCTCTGTATGTTTGTGCAGTGTGCACACACAATTTAAAATAGTTGAAAAGAATAAATTGTAAAATAAATTTCCCTGTTTCTATAGTGATACATGCCTGTAATCCCATCTGCACAGGAGGCTGAGAAATTACTTGAGGCTAGGAATTAAAGGTCCCCCTAGATGGGGCTAGATGTTGAAGAATACTTCTTCCAGAGGACCTGGGTTTAATTCTCAGCACCCACATGGGAGCTCACAATTGTCTGTAACTCCAAGATTTGACACTCCCACACGGACATACATGTGTGAAGTAGGTACCCTCACATGGACATATATGGAGGGGAACAGCAGTGTACGCTAAAAAGTAGTAATACTAAAATTAAAACAAACAAACAAAGGCCAGGCAGTGGTGGTGCTGCCTTTAATCCCAGCATTTGGAAAGCAGAGCAGATCTCCAGGTTTGAGGCCAGCCTGTGAGTCCCAGGACAGCCAAGCCTACACAGAGAAGCCCTGTCTCAAAACTATCTAAATAAATAATTCCAGTTTCAGGGAGTTCTACACCATGTTCTGGCATCATGTATATATTCCACCTCCAACTTTCACATACACCGAAATAAAAAACAAACAAACAAACAAACAAACAAAAACTAGGCAATGTAGTGAGGCCCTGTCTTTCTACCTTGCCTTCCCATTGAGCAGCCCTGGGCACAGCATGAGGTTCAGAATTATACTTGGGTAATGCCTGGTAAGAACTTTGAAAGAGCGGGAGACTTGGGGACATTGCGTTATAATGTCATGTCTCAGGGTCTGTGACTGGCTTGTCAGTGCGGCTGACTGGCTTCCATATGTGGGACCATGGCCCAGTGCTTCCTTCACCCTAGCACACTCTGCTGTTTCTTTAATCCCATTCGTCTTCCTACACTGGTCATAATGGAGCATGTTCCCCCTATGCTTTGACTGTGTGCTGACCTTAATGTGGCTTGTATTCTCCTCAGACTGGGATCAGATCCAGACAATAGACTCCTTGCTCAGGAAAGGTGGCTTTAAGGCTCCAATTACCAGTGAATTCAGAAAATCAATCAAACTCACCAGGTAAGCAGCTGTCCTGTTCTCCTTATTAGTTTTTCTTAAATGGGGGTTGAATACAGGGTACCTGTGGTGGGAAGGGAAAGAAAACAGTGTTCATACCCCTAAGCCAAAGGTGTGTGTGAAATACGAGCTCGGAGGAAGCAGTGGCTACAGAAGTGGATGCTCCCAGCTATCCTCTCTCTCCATAGCCAGTCTCACAGGACTGAAGCAGGGTTAGAGGCCTGCCTTGGGGGAGTGGGTACCTGCCAGATGCATGTGCTTCTCAGGGCTAGGGGAAGATTAGAATTAAGAGGTTAGGGATCCAGGACTGTAAATCCAGGGTCACTTGTGGTGCTTCTTCCTGGTCACGATGCAGTCAGATGGCAGGGGATAAAGGACATAATTACAGTGAGCTAAAAGGATACCATTAGGGTATAGTACTACTATGGGAAGCTGACTAGTTTTATGAATGTATACTGACTTGGGTCTGTATCCCAGGCTCAATTTTCTATTAACTATGTAACCTGGGCTATTTAGTCCATCTCCTTGAACTGTTCCTGTCTGTAAGATGTGAGTTGTAATTCCTTCAGGTTTGAAGGTAAGGTATAGCGTTTCCAGCCAAGGGCTGGGGCAGCACTGGAGGTGTCCAGTGGATGTCTACCCCTTCCTGCTGATGTTGGGAACAAAGAGAAGTTAGCTTTGGTGGGCCTTTGCTATGACCCTCATCTACAAAATGCTGAGTCATCGTATGCTAGCCTCACAGGTCTGTTTGGAAGATAACCCAGTGTTTTTGAACGAATTGAATTCCAAAAATCAAGGAGCTGGGACTGCAGCTCAGTGGTAGAGCTTAATACATAGCATGCTCAAGGCCCTGGGTTCCATCTCCAGCACCAAAATATAACAATAATTATAATAGTGAAATAATAAAATGAAAACACTGCAAATACAAAGCATTATTACTATAACAATTTATTTGAACAGCCATTTCCCTGTCAAAATTCAGGAGTAAACACCTTGCAGTGGAGGAGTGATTACAGTGGGAAAGAGATGGCTCTGGGTAAGGACTGTCACCCAGCTCCTGTGGTCTGTAGTAGGCTCCATAGGTTTGTAACACCCATGCTTTGCATCCTGACTCATGGCTCTTTCCAGAGCAAAGCCAAAGTGCTATGAATTCTGTTCTGATGACCCCGTGATATGGCATATTCATCTGGGGATTGAGACCTTCTTATAGCCAAGGATCCATTAACCTGCTTCATCAGAATTTGACCCAGAATTAGGTATCTATGCCCCTTTTAGTTATAACTTGTTTGTTGCTCTTCTACAAATTGAGGTTGCATTTCTGTCAAATTTTCCTCATTTTTAACCTGAACGTAGATAACGCAGTTTACACTGGGTTTTGGTGCAGCCATCTTCCAATCTGCCACCCATGTAATTTGACTTTGAAATTCCTCATCAGATCCTGGTAGCAGATTGCTTACCAACAGCCTGTTGATAAGCATATGTAGCGTTTTGAGGTGGGATGTGCTGAGATTCATTCTCAGGGGTGAACTGTGGTTGTGCTTTTTCATCTTGTTCATTTGTAATAACAGCATCATTTTCTTGTGCCGTCTTTTCATTTTCTGTAAGTAAGATTGCTCTTGGTCTTCCATTTTATTCTTTGAAACTGGGATAAGCTTTTGGTTTTCTCTGCTGGGTGACTCTTCACACTGAGATATTTGGGGGTCCTAATACCTTTGCCTGTTTCCTCATACAGGTATCGAAGTGAGAAGGTGACAATCAGTTATGCAGAGTATATTGCTTCTCGACAGCACTGTTTCCAGAATGGCACTCTTCATGCCCCGCCCCTGTACAATCATTACTCCTGACACACGGCTACATGACCAGTCCCACCCCCCTGTGGCCACCAATGGCTATGACATCATTGGAGCAGATGCCTCCTCTTCCTGGTCCAGTTACTTCTATTACTGCACCATTTTATGATGCTAGCTTCCGTTGCCAAGTCTGCCTCCTGCTGACTGGAGGGTGTGGGGTTACATGGAATGCAACAGAACATGAGGGGCCCAAGCCTTATATAAGCCTTTCCTCAATCTGGGGTTCTGTTGGAACAGGGCTCCCCAATAACCAGTGAGAATGGCTGTGTGGGTTCAGAAGACCGCTGTCTGGTGATTTCCCACATATGTGTTGGCTGCACACTGAAAACTGGAATTGATGGTGATTCATGGAGGCTTCCTCCCCAATCCCCCACAGCCCACCAGATCAATTAGGTGTACTCCCCTGGCAGTCTGGGCAACGGAGACCAACATGAACCACTTTTAGGTTGTTTTAAATTCCTTTTTTTAAACTTCCAGTTTATTGTGTACCAAGAGTTGATCCACAACCTCCATGCTTCATAAGTGAACACCATATTAGGGTTGAATGTGGGCACCATGAGCCCCTGTGAGTCCTGGACAAGAGACCCACACCAAGATCAGAAGTCCTGTGGATGGCATTGCATTGTGCAATAAGCTGTGAAGGTTTTCATGCTTATCTGACTCTCAGCTGGACTTTCTGGTACTCTTCCTGCATTGAGTCTCCTGGTGTTGAACAGAGCTCTGTGGCATAGCCTGCCGAGGAATGGAATGGAGATGCCCATAGAGGTCCTAATGTCATCATCATAAGCAGGTGTGAAAAGAGAGATCTCTTCCTCACCACCGGCTACCTCAACCCTCTTCTGGTAGCAGTGCCTATGTAGCTGCATCTAGGTTCTCAGAAGCACAGACATGCAAACAGGTGGTTGGGTTGGGCTTTAAGACACACTGTTACAGGAGAGCTTCCAGGGTCTCTGAGCTGGTTTTCTTCACAGGCAATCATCCCGAGGGACCTTTCAGTAGGGGAGTTCTTTTTTTCTGATTTGCCTGCAGAAGTCAGAAGACTTGATATATAAGTCCTCAGTAGGACTCTAGAACAAAGCTGTGTAATAAAACAAGGTGAACCTTTAACTTGCCTACCATACTGGGACTCTTCACCAGTGCAAATGTCCAAATTGCTCGTGTTGCTCACTTAAACTCTTGACATTCCCTTTCCCATCTTTTACTCATTCCAAAGTAGCTGTCAGCAAATTCTTTTAGACTCACTTAGTGGCAAAATGTATAGTACTAGGGGACTAGGGAGGTGCTCTGGAAGCTGTCTCAAAGGCACTGCTCAGGCAGCTCAAAGGAAGAGGCAGCCAGCTAGAAGAAAGGCTCCGGAGGATGCCGCACAGGTTCTCAGCAGTGTTCATAGAGAACTCAGGAGGCAGATAGGCCTCAACTCAGTGAACATATGTTTTGATTTCTTTTTCAGAATTGATGTGATGGTGTGGCTTTCCAAAATGGGCAAATATTCAAGTCAAAAGATCATCTGAGTTTCTTCTGCCAGGAATGGAGAAAGGGAAGAAAGGGGTACTTCCTATGTGCTATTCTAGGCATCGCCCTCAAGTTCTTGCGAGTTTTCTGTTTTTGTTTTTTTAAAAAATGGAGTGGGGAGGTTTTGTGCCAGGATTAAGGGCCTGGAATGGATGAGGGAGGTGCTTATGACATTGGAATGCCCAGGATGTATGCCCCTTACTGCCACATAGCGTTCCTTCACATACACAAAGATGAAGGGGTCTCATACTGAGGATAATGAAAGTGATGTTATAGACAGGTGTGACAACAGGTGCTCTCAGGTGCCATGGATTGATGTCAGGGTGGTCATCTCTGGGGCTGAGCCCACCCACCTCCAATTTGTACAACAGTATTGATACATAGGGCTACACTCATTACTGTTCAAGCGTTCTATGTTAAGAGTTGTGTTTAATTTCTTAAGATTTAAAGCAAAAAAAAAAAAAATGGTGCTAAATTTCACCCTTGAGCACTCTCAGTGAGACTGGTCATGCAAGCATCAACAGTGCCATGCTCCTCAAGCCTGTTTTTCTTGTAGAAATGTTGCCCTATCTGTCTTTCCCAATGTATAGTATGTGTTTTATTTTATTGAGGGTGGGGTAGAATACCTGCCACTTAAGAAAATGAACAGAAAATTTTTAGTACCTAAGAAGGTGGGGGTGAGGGATCAGTGAAGAGGAATCCAGCTGGCAAAGCCCAGCATCACACTGAAGTGGACTCAGTGGTTTTGGAGTGAAGAAGCCTTACTCCCTGCACATTCCCTCATGTTCCCACAGAAGTCCAGCAGAAGAAATGCTCAGGTTCTTCTTGCCTTGTCAAGGGGACTTGGGAGTCAGGCAAGGAAAATGGTTTGGCCCAGAAGAAATGGGTTCTATTGGTATGTCTGTCCTGACCAGAGCCTAGTCATTCAGGAAGAAGTTGAAGTGCATGCTCTTGGTCACCTCATGAGAATGTGGCAGATGGCTCTCAGGAAAAAAAAAAAAAAAAGGTGTGGATTGTCCACATGGGGGCTTTGCCTAGGGAGTTGATTCTCTGAACTAGAACTGTACATTGACCAAAGCAGTGATGAGGGTGGCCAGTAAGTGATGTTAGAGGAAAGGGACCGTTTCCTGCCCAGTGTTTCCTTTGGCTTTAGGTTGTTCAAACTAACAGAGGTCCGCTCTGTTATCAAAGAACCAGCCAAACTCTGTTGGCTTGGTTTGGAATTGTTTCATCCCTAGCTGTGAGTGCCTTTTGGTCTGGAAAGTTAGCTTGTCTCATCATACCCACAGCTAGGACACACACTATGTAATTATGAATTGTCCTTGTTTTCCTGAGCTAAACACAAATGTCTTTGGTCACTAGTTTGTCAGTGTTGGGTTGTTTCCACTGTGAGGTTCTTAAAACGTTTTCGCTTCATAATGTTAAAATAACTCATGTTAGAAACCCTTTCCACACGAAAGGTTTGTAGTTGAGACATTACATTTTACTGTTTATAATAAAAATCATCTATACAAAAGAAGTCTTGGGTGTTAATTTTAATATTTTGAGCAAAATCTGTTTTCATGCTACGTTAACATCAACAGTTTCACTAATGGTGTTACTTTCCATTGAGATTTCTGAAGCCTAGAAAACTGTTCTTTATGTTTTTTCTTTATTTTTTGTTTTCCCAAAGCAAGAGACTGTATGGCCTTCACTGCAAAGACTTCAGACCAATTATTTGTATTACACTTGGTTGCCTCTTGGCTATATAACGTCTGAGTACAAGTCATCAAAGTCTTGAATGAAGTATTGTAGAGAATAAATCATAATGGATAAAAACTGTCTTCTGCCTCTTTGTAACTAGGTGACTTGAATTATCTGAGACAGTAATTAGCAGTTATTTTCTTTGTTGATGGTCCCCTTAAGAGATCTGTCTGCCTCTGCCTCCCAAGTGATGGGATTAAAGGTGTGCACCACCACTCCCAGTGAGATTACCTAGGTGTGGTCCCAACAATCTGGAGGGCTACACAAAGACCCTATCTCAAAAAAAAAAACAAAAAACAAACAAAACACACACACACACACACACACACACACACACAAACTCAGATGGCTCAGCAGATGAAGGTGCATGGCACCAAGCTTGACCAGAGTCAAGCCCTGGGACATAATATAGTTCAAGAGAACCGATGCTAGCAAGCTGTCCTCTGCCTCTACTGGTGTGCTTTGACAGGCATGTATACACACAAAATGAGTGACTGATAAATTTACAGATTCCTATCATTTGGGATGATAGGAATAAGAGGTGCTTAAATGTGTGACATAAATTGCCTATCTTGTCTGGGTGAGGTCAATGATACTACTTGCTGAGGGTAGGGGTGATATGATACTTTAAAAGTTCTTTCCAAAACTAGACATGGTAGTTCATGCCTGTAATCCCCAGGATTTGGGAGACTGAGATAGGAAGATGGCCAAGAGTTCAGAGCCAGGGTGAGCTACGGAATGAAATCTTACCAAACCCAAAAGCCTTAATACAGTGGCACATGCCTATATTCTCAGGTGGCAGAATGGTTACTGTGAATTTAAGCCCAGCCTGGAAAATATTGTGAGTTCAAAGCAAGCCTAAGCTACAGAAACCCAAAAAATCTCAGCTGGAGAAATGGCTTAGTGGTTGAGATCTAGATTTGGTTTTCAGCACCTATATGACAGCTTACAGCAATCTGCAGCTCCAGATCCATGGGATCAGACAGATGCATACAGACATGCAAGAAAAAAACATGTATGCTTTGGACTTGAGGGGCATGGTGTCTCATGTCTGTATGCCTAGCACTCAGAGGAGGCAGTGACAAGCAGGTATTTGCGAGTTCAAGGCCTATCTGGTTTATAAAGTTCCAGGAGCGTCAACCACTGAAACCCTGTCTCAAATCCCACCCAGGTCTCCTTGGCATGTTAAATGGAATTCAAACTCCAGGTTCATGATTGTGTTCAAGTGTTTTTAATTGCTGATCTATCTCTTTAGCCTTCGCCTGTTGGGAGTTGAAACAAGGTCCAGTACACATCCAGTACGTGCCTGGATGGCTCTCTAACCATCTGAACTGTCATCAGTATTCTGTATAAAGTGGGACTATGGCAAGTGTCAAACAGTAGTTCTCAAGCTTCCTAATACAGCTTCTCATGTTGTGACCACCAGCCATAAAATTTTTGCTGCTACTTCAAAACTGCAGTTTTGCTACAGTAACAAATTGTAATTTTTTTTTTTTTCTTTTGAGAACAGTTTGCCAAAGGTGTCAAGACCTACAAGTTGAGAACTGCTGCTTTAGAACCTGGGTATGTAGAGGAAGGCAGGGTTTGCATTTCATGTTTAAATAAGCTTCCTGGAGTTGCAGACAGAACAAACAAAACTTTGGGCCAGTCCAGCCCACCAAAGATGAGTTTATTAGGGTTACTGATTGGAATATGGCCAACTCATAAACAGTTACCCCACTGAAAAATGCCAACACTGCCCTTTAAAGTTCTACTACCCCTTCCTTTTTTTTTTTTTTTTTTTTTTTTTTTTTTTTTTTTGAGGAATGGCAAGTTCTCATGTATCCTAAGCTGGCCTTAAAGTCACTACATAGCTAAATATGGGATTACCGTTGTGCCTACACCACTCCACCTTTATGAGGTGCTTGGATCAGAACTCAGGGATTCATGTGTGATATAGGTAAGTACTCTGCTGAGCCTCATCCTTAGCTCTAAGATCCTGTTTTATGTGGCTGTAAGTCTATAGCAGAATTCACACAGATTTTATCAGAGCTGCTGCCTGCTGCTAATGAGCCACAGGTTACAAAGGCTCAGAAGACCTAAAATACAGACAAAACCAGATTCTGGGAAAATATTCGTATGTGTGCAACATTCTAGCTCTTTTAATTGTGTGTGTAGAGGTCAGAGGACAGCTTTCTGGGGAGTTGGAAAGATCTCTTGTTGAAAGACTGTTAGTAAATGTTCCTAAGGAGGTCAAGGAAATAAATAAACAAACAAATAAATAAATAAATAAGGCACATGGCTTTATGGCTCCTGTAACCCTTCCCTTTGTAATTCGTATAATCAAAGACACATAAGGGAGGGAGCCTATTCAGGGTTTTGTGTGATTCTCCAAACAGCCTGTGACATTTAGGCTTGAAAATCTCCTATCTTAGGCTTTCTTGACATTTCTGTGCTCTCTCTCTTTCTGTGTGTGTGTGTGTCTAAGGACTGAACCCAGGGCCTCACACATACTAGGCAAGTACACTACCACTGAAATACATTCCAGCCCAGAGATCTGGGCTGTTTAATTTACCTACTTATGTTCCTGTACCTGTATGTGCATTTCTGTGAGCATACAACTTTTGGAAGTTGGTTCTCTTCTTCCAGACGTAGGTCTCAGACTGAACTCCGGTTATGATGCTTGGTGGCATGAGTCATCTTGGTGGCTTGAGATCTGAAGTTTTTGTTTGTTTGAGACAGGGTTTCACTATGTAGCCTTGGCTGGTCCAGAACTCATTATGTAGTCTCAGTCTCATGGACATCCATCTGCATTTGTCACCCCAGCAGATCTGGAGTTTTAAGGCCTGCCCAGCCTGAGGCAGTTGCAACCTCTAAGATGGTTTCCATCCTCTTGTGGTGATATAGTGGTGGACACTATTGTGTCCCTGAAAAAAAAATCTCCCCAGGCAAGGTTCAAGTCTTACTTCAGCACTGTGGTAGGACAAGTTTTCCAAATCTTTGCTTGAGTAAGTTTTTTTTTTTTTTTTTTTTTTTTTTTTTTTTTTTAAGATTTATTCATTATGTATACAATGTTCTGTCTGCATGTACACCTGCACAGCAGAAGAGGGCACCAGATCTCATTAGAGATGTTTGTGAGCCTCCATGTGGTTGCTGGGAATTGAACTCAGGACCTCTGGAAGAGCAGTCATTGCTCTTAACCTCTGAGTCATCTCTCTAGCCTCTTTTCGTCTTTCTTTCCCTCCTTCCTTCCTTCCTTCCTTCCTTCCTTCCTTCCTTCCTTCCTTCC